GAAAGTGAAGGCGAAACGGTATGCATTTGCAGATTCACCGGTTAAGCCAACACTGTACCTAAACCCAACCCCGCTGGTCGAAGAAACGAGAAAGAAGACGAAAACGAGTAAGACTACGCGGAAGAAGATGCAAGCTCCATAGTCGGAAGAAGACCAAGCTGGATCCAGGTCAGGCTGGTCAGACAAGGATCTCGAGTTTGTGTATCGCCACCAAGCTTTACGCGACTTCCTGCATCAAGATCCTGTCATGCAGATCCTGAATCCACGACAGATCGAAGATCCAAGAGAACCGGTGAGAGCACCAACAAAAACGGCGAGCAAGTGGGTGGCAGTCAGGGACCTATTACGTTTGCTTACGACGTCAGGCATCGTAGCTGGTGTGTTCGACGCAGATGATATCTTCGAGCTAGACCTGGATCTCATAGTATCCGCGACGCGGGACCTCTCTGCCAGAGTTAAGTCCATCACCGGAGAAAGGTCGCGCACTATGGATCCGGTGTCGTCGCCGAGGGTCAGCCAAGCTGCGTCCTCGAACTACGAATCCGCCGCAGAGGACGAGTCAGACACGACGTCCGAAGCACGACGCATGACTTTAGGACCCTCCGGGGCATACATGCTGGAAGCGCGGGCGAGGATCCGAGGACAGGAAGCCCCTGTGAACGTGAAGGCTCGGGATCCAGAAGGCCCTACGCGTGATCTGACACAAACCAGCCAGGATCGAGCCAGATCCGGCAAGAAGCCAGTGGGACTATCGTCAGATCGGGCTCAAGGTAATCGCCTCACGGATCCGGTCTCGCCAGTGGGCCAGACGGCCACAGGCTATTCCGACACTTCCTCGGGCACCCTGCAGCGACACTTCGAAGCTGCGATGAGTCGTTTCCTGGCCGAACAGGGTATGAGAGCGCCCGTGCCACAAGTGCAAGTGCTCCACGAACATGGAGCACGAGACGTGGAGATGGAGTCCGTGAGGGAGACAACTCCCATGATGAGTTCGACCCAGATGATCTGGATGGCCCATCCACTTCGTCAGCAGTGGTAGCAGCAGCCACAGCCGGGGCAGGTGGATCGTCCATGATCCAGAGGGTACGGATCTAAGCTATATCGGATCTGAAGGAGTTCACGGGCAAGGATCAAGATGAGGACCGAGCGAGAACATGGATCAGCAGAGTCAAGTCGGCCCTCATGAGAGATCAAGCGTAGGATGCGGAGAAGTGTTTGACCTTTGCGGATCTGCTAGCGGGGCCAGCCAGGAACTGGTATCGGCAGCTGGGCAGATCCACCAGGAACAAGTGGCCAGATTTGCTGCGCAGTTTCCAGACCCAGTACTGTGGATTGGGAGTGTCGGTGGCACGACAATACTACCACGCTCGCCGCAGATCGGATGAATCCCCGCTAGAATACCTACATCGACTAAATGTGGCCGGTCTACGGGCCAAGTTGAAGATCAAGGATGGGGGATCCAAGGTACTGCGGGAACTC